ATAAGATAATAATCTCTGATAAATATCCAATTCCTATCATTGATGAGTTAGATGAAGTTGGGGGTGCAACTATATTCTCAAAGCTGGATTTGAAGTTCGGATACCACCAAATCCACATCAAGGCAGGAGATGAGCATAAAATAGCTTTTCATACTCATGATGGGCACTATGGATTCTTAGTTATGCCCTTTGGCCTCGCAAACACCCCCTCGACTTTTCAGTCCTTGATGAATGACATATTTAAAGATTATTTGAGGGAATTTATACTAATGTTTTTTGACAATATCCTTATTTATAGCAGGGACCAAAAATCACATTTGAAGCACTTAAGCAAGGCTATGGATGTATTGCAACAGCACAAGCTAGTGATTAATATGAAAAAGTGTAGTTTTGGGCAAAAACAGCTTGAGTATCTTGGGCTTATTATCACTGTTGGTGGGGTCAAGGCAGATCCTGTGAAGATTGAAGCAATGGCAACTTGGCCGATACCTAGAGACATGAAGGTTTATGTGGTTTTCTAGGGCTCACAAGGAATTACCAGAAATTTATCAAGAACTATGGAAGAATTCCAGCTCCTTTGATAGCCTTACTCAAAAAGAATGCCTTCAAATGGGATGGTCAAGCTCAAGCAGCCTTTAAACAATTGAAGACTGTTATGACAAACGCACCTATACTTGCCATGCCAAATTTCCAATTTCCCTTTGAAATAGAAGTTGATGCGTGTGGTGTGGGAGTAGGAGCAGTTCTTATGCAACAAGGGAAACCCATTGCTTATTTCAGCTGGCAATTTTTAGGGAAAGCTCAGCTAGGTTCAGTGTCTGAGAAGGAATTAATGGCCATAGTTTTTGTCATCAAGAGATGGAAGCACTATCTTGTAGTTGCACCATTCATCTTCAAAACTGACCAAAAAGCTCTAAAGTATTTATTAGAGCAGCATATTATGGATCTTGATCAAAAGAAGTAGATTTCGAAGCTTGTGGCTTGTAAATTTGAGATTCACTATAAGCCAGGCAAAGAAAATGGAACTGTAGATGCTTGGTCTAAAAAGGATGTTTTTGAGTTGGTTTTGAATGCATTTTCACTGTGGCAGTATGCTAGAATTGAGGAGTTTGAAGTTGAGATAACTACCAAGTTTAAGTAAGTGTGGCAACAGGTGCTCGTCGAGAAAGACGTTCCAACAGGGCATGCATTAAAAAATGGGTGTTTAGTATACCAAGACAGATTAGTTTTGCCCTGACATTCATCTAAAACCATTGCTTTGAACAAGGAATTTCACAATTCTCCTATGGGTGGACATTCAGGCTATCTTTACACATACAAGAGATTATCAAAGGTGGTGTATTAAGAAAGCATGAAGAAGGATGTGCAAGAGCAGGTTGCAAAATGTGAAACTTGCCAGCATAATAAATATGAAGTGGTCAGCCCAGCTAGATTATTATAGCCTATGTCGATTCCTCAACGTAGGAAGACATTAGCATGGATTTCATTGTTGGGTTGCCTTAAGCTGCTAGGTATGACACTATCATGGTAGTGGTGGACAGAATCACTAAATATGCTCACTTTATACCTCTCTCTCATCCTTTTACTATTAAAGATGTGGTTGAACGATTTATTTTTGAGGTAGTCAAATTGCATGGCTTTCCTAAGTCAATTGTACCCGATAGGGACAAAATATTCATTAGTTAGTTTTGGAGGGAGATGTTTGCACAGTTCGGACCACCCTAAAGTATGGTTCGGGGTACCATCCGCAAACTGATGGCCAAATGGAAGTGGTGAATAGGAGTTTAAAGACTTATCTCCGGTGTTTTATAGGGGAATGCCCAAAGAAATGGGTGAAAATGCTACTATTGATCTTTAGGCACAACTCCTTTCAAAGCCTTGTATGGGCGAGATCCTCCCACAGTCTTGAAGTGGAAAGATGATGTTTGTATGGTGGAAGAGGTGAATGAGCAGATTAGAGAGAATGAAATGTTGTTAAAACAAAAATCTCACCTTGAGTAGACCCAGGTAATTATGAAAGAACAAGTTGACAAAAAGAGGAGAGAAGTTGAGTTTCAAGTAGGCAATAAGGAATATTTGAGGATACAACCCTACAAGCTCAAGAATTTAGCTAAGAAACAAAATGAGAAGTTAGCTCTTAGGTTCTACGGGCTTTATGAGATTACCTAACGAGTGAGATTATCCAAGCAGGTAAGGTTGCTTATAAACTCAGACTACCAAAAACAGCAAGGATTCATCCTACTTTTCATTTATCTCATCTCAAGAAATCTCTTTCTCTGTTTGTGACAACACAAGCCCTTCCTAACTTCCTCTTTGAACAGGTTAAAGATGTGAAAAAGGTGAAGCAAATGACCAAGGGCAGCAAGCAATTACTCCTCCAGTCTAGTATATAAGTCACTTTCTAAAAGCATAATCTAGTCCACTTTATAAGTCATTTATTGATGGGGTTGTTTTGTTTCAAATTAAAATTCCCAAGTTACCCTTAAAAAGAGAGAGAATGACAGAAAAAATAATATTATATGATTGACTTACTTTTTGCTTTCTACTTGAGGGTTATGTTTGGAATTTTACTTACTTTTATTCCTTATACTTTTATTGCATTGGTATTGATGAGGTTGGTAGAAATGACTTATAAATAGGACTGGAGGGAGTACTCATTAAGTTGAAAAATCTATTTGAATATGACAATACATGGGAGTTGATGACTACTATTGCTTCTCAATTTCCTGAATTTTCCCTTGAGGACAAGGTGAGACTTTTAGAGGGGGGAGATGATGAGACCATTACTCCCTTGGGCCATGTTTATGAGAGGAACCGCCTAGAGCCACTCTTAAGAACAAAGACATTGATAAGAGAGGGGATAAGGGCACTATAGCAAGCCCAAGGCTTAATAACCTCAAGAGGAGCAATGAGATAGTTATCTAGGGCAATGTGCCCAACAGAAAGGCAAGCAATCAGGCAAGTAGGGGCTGGGAGAGCACCTAACCTCTCAAAAGTTAGGGAAGCATATCTGTGATCACTCTATTTTCATCTCCATTGTAGTTATATTTTCACTATATTTGATTTTAGTTAGTTCTTTATCTCTTTTTTCCCCTTCCAACCCCCTAAAAAAGGCCGTAATTAACTATTCCGGTGAAGTAATTTTAGTATATTCTTTGGGTTTCATAAATTTAAGATTTTGTTAGGCATTGAAAACTTTTTTCCAGTAAGTTCAAACTATAGGTATGGTTAAGTAAATAATGGAATGTGTGTGTCGACTTTCTTATGAAAAAGTATAAGGTGTTTGAGTATTTTTTAAAAAAGAAAAAAAGAAAAAGAAACTTTTGCTGGTTCTTATCATGAAAAATTATATATAATTACCTCTCTGTGTTTTTACAGCTCTACTTCTTCGGTAGTAAAGATTATTTTCCTTGAGATACGAAAGAAGGAGAGTAAACCTCTTCCAACTAAATTGCTACATACACAAGGGTTGAGATTCGAACCCCCAACCATTTACTTAAGTGACTAGAATCTTTACTACTCACGCTAATTTTAATTGGTTATATAATTACCTCTCCGTCACACACACACATACAATTGTTAAAAATTACTTAGTGTGTGAAAAACGTTATAGTTTTTTTTAAATGCCCTAGTTTTGACATACTTAACTCTTCCATCTTACTAGTGCTCTGATTCCTATCTCATATATTCTATTTGTTAATTATTATAAGGTATTTTTAATTACTACACTTAAAAAAAGTTTGTTAATTGATATTCCAAGTTCATTCTAACTTTACCATCTTGTAATTATAATTTATCCTCTTACTGTATAATTCCAATCATTGATCATTTGCAAGTATTTTTTATATAGCCCTGTGATCACTTTAGTTAAAAAAAGTATTAATCACTCTTAAAATTTCATAACATACTTTATAAGATAACTTATGATAGCAAATGGAGTGAAAATAACTTCAATGAAATGTATTAATGGATTAATCAATTGACTCCATTAAATTTTCAAATTTTACAGGATCATTCCTTAAAAAAACATCTTAGTTAAAAATTCCAAAATCTGAATTAGTCAATAATGCAAATTGCTTGATTGTACATATTAGTCACTTGCTTCTATGAATAGTAAATTACTAAATTATTCCATCTATTCCTTTTTCCAAGACACTTTTAATATTATTACTGAAATCAAAGGGATACTTAAAATTCATGCCTACTATTTTCTTCACTATTGGTGGAAAAACTTTTGACCTTTTCCCCAATGGTGTATCATGTCTTCAACCCTATCACTGCTTTTTCCCCCTTTATTTTTGTTTTTTAACTACTAATTCATTAGCTAATATATTTTCAAAAAGTCAAAAACTAAGTGATAATGGTTTTGTGAAATCTTCAAAGATGTTAATTGGTAAAATGATTGGGGTTGGTTGGATGTATTTACCGAAATAACCTAATCGTTTTTTTGAAAGACCCACATAAAAATACGCTACCAACATAAGTATAACTAATGCAACAATAGTATTTCTATCATTTATGAGTGCAGCTAACTCTCTATGAGGTAACTATATGATTTTCCAAGGCAAAAGAGCTCCTGACCAATTCGAAACAAAAATAAATGGAAGCATAGTTCCAATAAAGGGCATACTGGTGTGGGCTAAGTAAATCAATGAATAGTTTTGGTTCTATTGAAAATGCCAATCTAAGTGAAGACCCAATTCTAACTGATATGGATAAAAACATTCAGAGGTGGAGTGATAGTGACAATTCTAGTTACATATATAAATAGAACAATTATTTAGAGATAAAATATTTTACTATCAATCCTCATTCATCACCACAAGATGGAAGAGACTCATCATACTTGTTTTCCTGATAAGAAAATGAATCATTAGGAAATAAAATGAGGCTTACCAAAATTTCTAGTCTTATAGCCTTCAATTTCTTACCTTGCCCAAATTCCTCTGTTATACTTACAAATCTTTTTTTTTTTGTGTATATTTGTGTGGTGTATACAGTACATTCTCAAGGATGAAGAAGGGTCTCAAATTCAATGCATCTGTAGCTTCATTGCTTTAGATGTGCCATGCCTCCTCCTCGTGGCCCTATCTGGTACATACCCTATAACTATACCCTCTGTGCATTCTGTCAATTTTGTCTTCAAAAGATTACTCTAACAACAAGTCTTATCTCACTAGGCGAGGTCGGTTACATGGATTGTATGACATTATTCTGCTCTACCATTTACAAAACTTTTAGGAATGTTGTTAACTAAGAGGTCTCGGTTGGTCAACAACTTCCTTAAGTGTTGTTCTCTTTGGCTTTCCTCTACCCTTCCTAACAACAACAACAACAACAACAACAACAAGCCTTTATCCCACTAGGTGGGGTCGGCTACCCTTCCTAACAGGACTCAAAATTATTTATTTCACTCTTCTCATCGGTGCCTCCTGCAATCTTCTTTGTACATATTCCAAAGATTACTGCAAAAAAAAAACTCCTATAAAAACACATGAACATGATTATGATATTAACTTAATGTGTGAGTCCATGTGGAATTAATCTCGTGTGGAATGAATCTACATATGTGAAAATTTTTTTACATTCAAATTAAATCAATGTTATAAAAGACATTTGGGTGGCTTGAAAAGCTATGACCCATGAATGTTTGGCCGGAGATGTGCCATATAACTTCATGTGAATATATAATTTTGACACTGATAGTTACACAGGGAGGTCTTTGCTGCATAATCATGCAGAATAAATGGACTAATCTTCTCCGCTCAAGTTCTTGGACCAAAAGTGTAATATAAGCAACACATGTATACAACTAAATATAATGTGTATTATTAAAAATTTGAACACTGCATATTTCATAAAATTGTATACGAGGAAGAAAGAACATGATGCCCATTTTGAAACCATTAAATTTCTATCTCGCAAATAAATCAGAGATGATCAAGCTATTAGCTGAATAAACTATAGGCCTTGTAAGATGTTCATTTTCTGCATTAGAGTGATCTCTAAAACAAAATGCATGTCTCTCTAGTAAAGGAGGCTTGGCACGTCCATTTGTTAGCATTGACAAAATTTCAGACAGGCTGGGTCTATCAGTTGGTCATTCTTGTGCACATAATAGACCAACATCAATAATACATCTCAACACTTGATTTGGAGCCAAGGAATCTTTTGTTGCTGGATCTACCAATTCTAATGCTGCTGCTTCACCTTCTTTCCAAAGCTCCCATGCCTGAGATATGTTAAATGCTTCTCATTTCAGACACCAACTACACAAAGGACTATATGGTAGAAAATTTATAGGGAAAATACTACTGCAGGACAAAGTTGCCAATACTCAACAAGGTGGCATAAGTGTTGTTGATGAGATAGAGGCTGATCTGGAGGAGGGAACAGGATAGTAGGCTCTTGACTTTTCAACACACCAGAATGATCCAAAGTTAAAGCTTCAGACTCTAAAGAAGCATTGAGAATTCAATCATTTGGATTGGCAATCCAAACTGGCGGGTCATCATTATATGAGTTCTAGACTAATAGGTAGTAAAAGGGGGATTAATAGTACGTGGCTATTTTCTTAACAGCCATGCAATAATCACCCCTGGCTGAGCATATAGTAGGGTTTGTGTGATTTAGCTGATCAAGCTTAAAATGGTCGTGATTGTCTTGTGCATCACAAAAAATTCTCCAAAATCCCAAGTTCCCTACAGCAAGAACCAATAACACAACATCAAGTATGCTCATCACAGACATGGTAGAGAGCCAAAGGGCATAACCAGCTAAAACTCAGGATTTCATAAAGCCTTTTGATGATATTTATTCATGGCGTGACATTGTTGGTTTTGTGTATTTGTTATATTTTTGGTTAGTCCTAGTTAACATCATCTGTCTAGGTGGCATTTGGCAAAACCCAAATTGATATCACCCTCTTGTTTTGACTTTTGACCATAAAACTGATATCAAGTACTTCATCAAAATTTAATTAAATTGCAGTAAACTTGATATTAAGGATTTGATTCGGCCTCTCAAGTCCTTTTCCTTCTCTTGTATTCTTGTTGTCAAGTCTTTGTGGATGGATTCAAACTCAATGATTAGAGATTAATTAACGTTGTTTTTCGGCATATGCTAAGTTCAAAATATTTTTCCCCTTATTTTGATGGTGATCCTTCCAGCTTGGTGTGTACTAAATAGTTTAAAATTCTACAATTTTTAACGTGTACTAGATAGTTATGTATAAATTTCCTGTAATGACAACGCATAGTTTTTTTTAAAATTTTTTAATATGAGTTTGTCCTAACTATTGTTGGTGGAAGCTCAAGATCACCATTTATTCCTCGTTCACGGAGTAGCAACAGTAATATTTTTAGTTTTATTTTTTTTATACGTAACTTCGTCGGAGAGAATCATTCCACATTCCATAAAATGTGTACTAATATAACTTGACGCCCATTTTGAAAACCTGAGAGTTTGAGACAATGGTATTGTTATGAAAGTGATGCGCTCTCTTTGATATGTTTAACAGCTATGACACATGAAAGTTTGATGGGAGATGTAGCATATAACTTCTTGTGAATAATTTGATACTGAAAGTTATACAAAGGGAGGTATTGACTGCATAATCATACAGAATAAGTTGGCTAATCTTCTCCATTCAAGTTCTTGGACTAAAAATGCAATATGAACAACATACATCAATATGATGTGTATTAATGGAAATTTGAACTTTGCATATTCCATAATATTGTAGACAAGAAAGAAAGAACATGATGATGCTCGTTTGGAAACCATTAAATTTCTATATCTGCAAATAAATCACAGACGGTCAAACTATTAGCCGAATAAGCAATGGGCATTGTAAAATGTTCATTTACTGCACTAGCATGATCTCTGAAGCAAAATGCAGGTCTCTTTAGCAAAGGAGGCTTGACACTTCCATTTGTCGACATTGACAAAATTTCTGACATGGTGGGTCTATCAACTGGCCATTCTTCTGCACATAATAGATCAACATGAATGCATCTCACCACTTGATCTATCAACTCCGTTTATTCCACCAATTCTAATGCTGCTGCTTCACCTTCTTTCCAAAGCTGCCATGCCTGAGGTATGTTAAATGCTTCTCATTTCAAAACATCAACTACACAAAGGATTTGATGGTATAGAATTTACGATGAAAACACTTTTACTGTCTGACTTACATGTCCTACTAAATTGAGTGAATCATTGGCATTGTAAACTATATTCAAGAGTCTTGTATCCACGGCTTAGATTCATGTATGACAAAATATTCAGCTCATAATTCATAAATATTTATATGTTGATAAATCAAATGCAAGGAGGAAATATATTGCAATAGCTCTTTAAATAGCATAAGAATTAAATAGAAAACAAAAAGACTTTAGCCAATGTGTACTTACAATGAACCAACAATTCTATTGGTATTTCCCTCTAATTCTTGTGCAATAATTCTTACTAAACAAAAATCAGAAATTTTGGGGATCAATTTTTCATCGAGTGGTATGTTACTTGCTTTCAAGTCTCTCTATGCTATTTTTAGTCTTGAGTATTTATGAATCTATAATAGTCCCTTAGCAATATTTTCAATTATGTTAAGTCTTTTCTCCCATTCTAGTAGCTTGCTTCTTGTAGGATCTTTGAAACAAAATTGTCAATGATGGATGAGGAAGACAAACAATACACTGAGCAACAAATACCATTTGGTTTTAGTAACTTCTTGAAAAGCATGCATACATTGAGAATTCTTACCAAATAAGATGCTGTCCAAGCTATTGTTGGGCATGTACTCATAAACTAAAGTTTTCTCATCTCCTTGAATGCAGCAACTCATTTTTGTGTTGGAGATCCGATGTTAGTTTCAACTAATTTTTGAATTCTGTTATTCCTTGTCTAGAGCTTCTTGAAAGTCTCTTAAAAGCCACTTCTTTCCTTGTTTGTAGTTTTCCCTAATTGAAAATTAAGAACTTATGTCACACCCTGAATTTCTAAAGTGTGACTGGCTAAAATACAAGAAAACTTATATTTCTAAGCCTAAACCCATTTAATATTTAACATATTAATTATCCAATCTCATCATATAATTGTCATTTGTATTAAATCACTATTAGCATTAACAAAATATTCAACCTTGTAGAAATTTCAACAGTCTCCTCTATAAGTTGAACTACCCGAAATCTCTATAACTTGCTAAAAGAATGTCCAAGCAACATTCGGAGTTTTACTTCGATATAGTATATATGTATATATATACACAAACCCAAAATAATTTAATTAAGAATCCTGCCTATATGATTCATGGAGTGAATCTAGAATAGAACTAAAATATTTAAATATTTACATTACTCCACAATATGAACGAAGCAACAAAATACTTCTTATTTCAAGAAGTCCTATAAGGTCTACTGAAAAGCAGGTCTACTTCTACTATTTGAATACCAAAAATTCTTCCAGTAAATAACATCCCCAAATAATAATAATAAACAAAAAAACGATAACTATAAACACATGCAATAGGAAACAAGTGACTAATACAATTACCAATGGTATTAAAAAATAACAACACAATTTATCTTGATAATTGAGTAACAAAAAGAGAAGAGAGAAAATAAAGAATCATAATCAACAAATTAAGAAATATATTTTTAAATATTTTATATAAAACAAATCATAAAAATGCAGTTTTTAAGGGTGAAAATATAATGTGGAAAACTTGTTTTCGGTTAGGATCTAAACAGAATGAATAACAAGCATGGACGCACAGTTCACGAGAGTAAATAACATCCGGCGTGGCTAGAAACTATGAAAAATAGGTGTGAGCATAAAGCTCATGAATAAACAGGCATTGATTATATCCACAAAATTACATCCTCCATTCCATGTGTGTTGGCCGACACACAAGGCTAACACCTCCAATGTACCCTGTTAGCTAGGCATGCCATGGCGTGCCAAAGGCTAATAAAACTATCATTAACATTGTTTTGTATTTAGTCCCATAAAACATTTCTAGCATGCATGGAGTCTACAAGTCCTTATAGCTCAAATTGTCCTTTAATTGTAAAATATAAACGATCTCTTCATCAATAATTCATCTAATCCATGTAATGTATGTTTTTTTAAAAAATAATAATAATAAAATATCATGAAAATGCCTACATGATTAAAATTGGATAATAAATAAACTAATTACATATAAATGAGCTTAATCATAAGATACAATTTAAAAAGATCCATTCAAAACAGTTAAAGTAAATAAATAAGGTAAAAGAAATATCAATGCTTCTGTATATATTGGGGAATATTATTTACTTACCTAGTATGCCATGAAGTTCTAAAAGTTCTTCACTATAACTTTAATTAAGTTTTTGCCCTATCAAATATAATAAAATTTTCATAGACTTATTACAAACACCTAACATACATAAATTTCCAAATCAATCAATTAAACTTCTTAACCTTCATTCTCTTACCCCAACAATTCCAACATCAATATCACATTATACAAATCAAACTCCCCATAAAAAAATCAACTTACACCCAAAGAAAGCAACTTTAAATTCCTTCCTCTACAGTAACCAATACGTAAATAAAATTACCTATAAAAATGTTCTTCAAGTTAAATTCCGGCGTTGGTTGTATCTTATCTAATCTTCCATCAAAAATTGATTAAGTTCCAGAAAATTAATTCTCTAACCACCCTCCTCCTTTTACAAAATCAAGACTCAAGTGTAATTATCTACCAATATGCACCCTTATAAATAAAAGCTTAAATTCCAGCTTGATTAATTCCCGAATATGCTCTTACTCACGTACCACACAGAATTAGAGGGGAAAATTCCCAATTTGCAACAACCCAAACAACACACTCACACTCATAGAAGGACGGCAGCAGCAACAAAATAAGGAGAAGTTTCAAGCATACCCACACCAAATCACGCTAAGAGAAGGAAGAACAAGTGTTGAACCACTAAACAAGGGTGACTTAATATGTTACTGTAGCGACTGAAGAGGGAAGAGGAGAAGAACACCGATGGCGAGAAATGTGGGTGAGGAAGAAGACATGAACAGCACACACAAGAAGAGAAAGAAATCACCAAACAAACCTCTAGTAACGGCAAACAGGCATATCATTTTATGAGTGAAGCTAATAATTGTTTTGGTAGGCATATCATTTTGTTTCTAGTGTATTAATCATGTTTCTTTCTTATGGTACAGAGGCTTTGGAGGATGGAAAAATGGCGCTCATTTTAAATACTGATGAGAATATACTTACTGCAGATATACATTGATTATTGGCTGATATCTATTTTCAGCAAGAGGACTGTATAAGTATGCATGCATATAATTATTTAGCTTTTATATGTCATGTAATTATTTAATTGATTGTTTGATTTTTAATGATGTAGATGCTAAGGAGCAACTTGGCATGTTAAAATTTTTGATGATGATGATCCATCACATTACATGTTGGGCGGGTAATTCGTATTTTTGCCTTTCATTTATTGATTTGTAATTCTCCTTTAATTCTCTTGCAAGAAGATTAATAAGGCTGTGAAAGAGTACCAAAAAGATGCTAAGTTTTGTATAATGGCTAAGAGGGCAACTAACGGAAATGAACAAGTTATGAGTGAAGTTGATTCTCTATTTAAAGGTACCGCTATTTTGAATGGTAGAACGAAGATACTACTTTTTTCTATTTCTTATATTCAATGCGGTATGGAGTTTTGAATCTAACAAACTTATTTTGCAGAAACAACTACTGAAAGAGCTAATGAAAACATGAGGACATTTGTCCAAGAATTGGAGGAAGAAAAAAGTAAAGAGATGGAAAAGAAAAAAAAGAAAAAGAAGGGAAAGAAAAAGAAGAATTCTAACAACCCTGCTGCTAATAGACTTATCTAGAAAATAGATGGATTGAGTAATTGTGCATTTTTTTGTATTCAATTTAAATGACTTCGATAGAAGGGCATATTTTTGTAATTATTGTTATATTGTTTTTTTACAGAAAAAAATGAAGAGGTATCTTCGTCAACAATTAAAGATGAGCTTCCCAAAGTTCAAGATGCAAAAAAAAAAAAATTCTCAATTTGAGGTAAGAAATAGGTGGGTAATATTGTGCAAATAGTTGTTATTATTGAATAGCATTTATTAGTAGTTATTAGGCTTTGTTAAGCTCTACTCTTTTGTCTTTTCCCTTGGTCTATTCCTTTTTTTTGTTTGGGTCAAAAAAGAGCCAATTTCATCAATCACCAACAAAATATTACAAACACCAATAGTTGAAGAAAAAAAAAAGCTTGAAAAACTTACATACAATCTGACACACAAACTCAAAAACAAAAAAATACAAGATAAAACAAGAAAGCAATTAGCCAAAAGACAAAAAGATTAAACAAACAGAAACCATGAAGAACAAAATGAAGTAGAAAAAATATTACACTAGCAGCAACAACAAAAACACATACCACATCAACCAAGACACTCTTAATAGAGTTCTTGTGCACTTTACCCCATGCTTGGGCCCAAGTGCCATCCTTTTTCTTGACTAGGACTATAAGTGCTGAAAATGGTGAGTAACTCTTGAATCACCTGTGTCTGTAGCAAATCACCCACTGGCCCTTTAAACTGAAGGGTACCTATGTGGCTTCACGTTAATGGGGGTTTGTACCCTCTTGAAGTACAATGAGATGATCATGGCATTTTTTGAATGGTGGCAGCCCTTTATTGTCTTCAAAGAGGTTTGGAAACTCCTCGAAGGTGTTGCCAATGGCCTCTGCTACGTGATCATAAGGTTGGATAGAAAAGTACTGCAACACAATAGCTAATAAGGAAGTGGATGATTTACATAATAGCTATATGGGGGTGTTCTTTTCTTCTTTAGTGGGTTGGTTAATTGGATAATGGGGATTATAGTCTATAAAAATGGCATGAGAGGGGTTGATGTATATGGAAGAGAAGAATGGTGAAGAATAGGAGAGAGACAAAGAAGAGAGAAAGGATTGAGAAATAGAGAAGAGGTTTCTGAATAATACTTGAGAGAATTTTATTAAGCATAAGAGACTAAGTACAATCATATAGCCTTTGTATAAGGGAGAGTCAGACTCTAAGCCTATCTAAAATAACTAACAGCTAAACGTTAACGGCTCACTAACTTACTTAACAACATATTTGTCTGTTTATTATGATTACACATCAATACCCCCTAAGAATCCTTATCCTCAAGGGTTATGAAACACAAAAGAAGGGTGTTGTTGTTGTAACCTAGACAAAGAAACCCAACTTGCTTTTTCATTAGGATGTCCTTTCAATTGTACAAGTATCTCAATAATAATTTCTCCCTTTCTGCTACCCATTCTTTTATTCAGAATCGTTTCTAGAGTAAGATTTGTAGGAGGCTCAAGCCAATCTAAGGGTGGATGCCTTTGCTTTACAGACGGATCAGGGCAAAGCTTTAGCAAAGATACATGAAAAGTAGGGTATACTCTAAATTCTGGAGGCAGCTCTAACTTGTATGCCATTGGACCTATCCTTTGGTAGATTCTATAAGAGCCAAAGTACCTTGGAGCTAATTCTAAGAGATTCTTGAAGCTGCAGAAATTTGGTCATAAGGTTGTAGCTTAACAAACACCCGCTGCCCTTTCTCAAATTCTCTATTAGTCTTATGCAAGTCTACCTTCTACTTCATTCTATTAACAACTCTGTTGAGATGATATTTTGCCATCACAAGAGCTTATTCCGTTGCTAAAAATGTCCTATTAACAGCTTCCACAGCCACATCTCTAGGCAAATGAGGAATATGCATAGAAGAAGCCTGACCATAAAGCAATTCCTAAGTAGTAGTTATTGTAGAAGTGTGGTAAGAAGTGTTATACCACCATTTAGCCATAGGAAGCCATTTCTACCATTCTTTAGGTTTTTCCTATCACATACACCTCAAGTAGTTTTCTAAACAACAGTAAAGCACCTTTGATTAACCATCCATTTGTGGATGATAAGAGAAAGTGAGCTTCTGTTCAACCCTTAAAAGCTTTAAAAATTCCTTCCAAAAAATTACTAATAAAGAAAGGGTCTCTATATGTTAGGTGCTCAAAATAACAAAAGGAAATAATAGGAATAAATCTATTAAGATGATATAAAATATGAATCTCGTTCTTTTATTCTTAATAGCCACGCTCAGGAGAATCTCCAAAGGATTTGAAAGACTATTTTATTAATAAAATGATATGCTAGCTTTTAGGTTGTTAATCATATTTATAATGTTAAATACAATCTAAAATAATAAATAAAATCTAGATAACTAGATAATTAAATAATATATCCTAGAATCTAAAATACTTAATAAAATCTAAATAGATAAAATACTAAATCTAAATAAAATTTAAAGAACTAAATAACTAAATAAAATCTAAAGAAATATCTAAAAACTAAATAAAACACTAAATCAAATAAAAATAAAATCAATCCTAATTTATCTTCTGCCGCTTCCTTCTTGAATAAGTCTGAATGCTATCCGAAATTTTATCACTATCACTAATAATCTAAATTGGAGCTCCATGTAGTTTGTAAATATGATCAAGAAATTGCTGTGCTAAGGTAGACACTATAAAAGAATGAGACAAGGGTAGGAAATGTGTATACTCGCTAGAGCGATCAATAATTACCTAGATTGTGTCCTTACCATTTGACTTAGGTAACCCCTCAATAAAATCCATGGTTACACTTTCCCAAACTTTTCTTGGAATAAGAAGAATCTATAGCAATCCAAAATAAGCCATTGATTCGGATTTGCACTGAGCACCTGTGTCACAATGCTTTACAAAATCTTTAATATGATCAAATAATTTCTGCCACTAGAATAATTTCTTGACTCATTGAAAAGTAGTTTGCACACCTGAATCACCTCCTTGTGGACTAGCATGAAGTCACTTCAATGTTTGATGTTTGACACTTGGAGTATTTCCCACAATTAGCCTACTATTTTTCCTTCTGCACCATTATGCTACTGTAAATGAGCTTTTAATGCTCTCAAATCCATATCATCATCCTAACTCTTTTGAATTTCCACAAAAAGGAAATCTGAACAGGTTTGAAGGATACTTAGAAAACCTCATTTTCAGGCATCGTTAAAAGAGCATCAACTGCACCATTATCATTGCCCTTTTTATGATGTATTTCATAGCCATAACCCATGAGCTTAGTGACCCAATGCATTTGAAATGCTGTCTTTAATTTCTGATCTAGCAAGTATTTAAGACTTTGCTAATCTACTTTAATAATAAAGCATCTTCCCTCAAGTTATTGGTACCAATGCTCCATGGCTTACATTACACCAAGTAATTTTTTCTCATAGATGGAAAGATTCTAGTGTTGAGGGTCTAAAAGCCTTGCTAAAAAAGGATATAGGTTGACCTTGATGCATCAAATCTACCCCAATTCTAGAGTTGCAAGCATCCATTTTAACCACAAGTTCTAAAGAGATATCTGGAAGTGTGAGAACGGGGGTTGCAACTAAAGTTTCTTTCAGTTTTATAAAGGCAGCAACACCTCTATCTGACCATTAGAAGTCATTTTTCTTGAGTAAATTAGTGAGAGGTCTAGTTAAGGATCCATATCCCCTAATTAACCTTCTATAGTAGCTTGCAAGTCCCAAAAATGATCATAGTTGCTTCATTGTAGTTGGTTTAGGCCATTCCATAATTGCCTTGATCTTCTTTAGGTCAATTAAGACTACTCCTCCCCCAATAATGTGATCTAGGTATTCTATTTGTGCTGCAGCAAAGGTACACTTCCTTTCCTTCACAGAAAAAACAATTTTTTCTTAATATTTCCAAAACTAAACACAAATGTTGTGTGTGAGATTATAAATAAGGGCTATAAACTAAAATATTGATAGAAAAAAAACTAAGACAACTTCCTTAAATATTCCCTTGAATATATTGTTCATGGCACCTTAAAAAGTTATAGGTGCATTAGCGAGCCCAAAAGGCATCACTTACCCAAAAGGCAAAGCTAAGACAAACTAATATATTGTTCATGCTAAATATTTTGTATATGTCCTTGGGCTCCATTTTGATCTGATGGTATCCTGCTCGTAAATCCAATTCAGTAAAATATTTAGCATCTTTTAATTCATCCAAAAGTTCTTCAACTAAGAGAACTAGGATATTTATTCTTAATAGTCCTCTTGTTAAGCTCTCTATAGTTGATGCACATATGCCATGACCCATTTTTCTTTTTCACCAACACAATTGGTGAAGCAAAGGGTGAACTACTCTCTTGAATGACTTGTGACTGCAATAATTCTTTCACCATGCTTTCAATTGCATTCTTTTGAACTGTTGGATATCTATAGGACCTTAGATTGACTGGGTCAGAGTCAAAACCTTGTAAAATAATTAAGTGAATATGACCCTTTCTCAAGGGGGAAAGAGACTTAGGCTCCTTAAAAATGTCCGACAATAGCCCCTAAAGTAGCTTCTGCAAAACCCTCTTCCGCTTATACTTGCAAGCAATGAAGCCCTTCATCACCATTTCCCAAGAGATGCAACATGAACTGTTAAAATATTGTTTATTCTTAGTGTGTAAATATTAGTTGATAGTTAAGGACAAAGATAGTATTTTACTCTGTGTATATTCTTATAAATATCATATAATCCTTTATAATTAGAATCATCATAAATAAGAAAACTTTTCCTCCTACTTTCTGTCATAACCATCTACCCTCCAGCCTTTAAATTCCCTTGAATCTTCTCAAAATCTACAATTTTACATTTTGGTGTTTCTTGAGGTTGCAAGCAAGCACTTCTTATTATACCAAAAAGTCATGGACAAGTCATCAAAGTCCCAGTAGGCTTGATGAATGGTTTTGAGCCATGAGAACCCCAGAACTATATAAATATGGACTTCCAAAATTTAGAAATCTCTTTCAAAATCTTCATCTTGCATTCTCCACTTAACTCATTTTAAAACACTAAAAAATTTTAGTTTTCCCACCTCTACAACTTCCACTTCAGCTATGAGGTAAGTGTTTTCCTTCCAACCTAGCTTCTTAGCCAAAGCCATATCAATATAAGCATGAGAAGCCTTGTTGTCTAT